TGTGATAGTGCACTCCTGCTCCCAACTGGAATGATTCTCCTACCGCCTCCATTATCCCCGTGGGGGTTTTTTTTTTTTAATAAAAAATAAAAAATAAATGTATAGTGTTGCAGCTCAGAGTCGGCGATGGTACCTTTTCGGCTGGAATATGTTGTCTAGTGAGGACGGCTTTCGGTGACTTAATTGGTGAATATAACTAACCAACTAATTAGCGGACTCATTTTATTTAACAATTTTATTTTATTTTATTTTATTAATAAATAAAAGATTTAAAGTGGCACTTGAGCCTTCGAACCAATGGCATTAAGTCATGTATAAGTGCATTCTCTTATTTTAAGGAGACGGTTTGAATCCGATTCATTGTGAATTTATTCAAAAAATAAAATAAAATAAAAGATTTAAAGTGCAAATTTTTAATTTAAGAGAATGTAGAAAATTAAGAGGTTTTGATATATTTTTGAAAATTAAAATGTATAATCAAATTATTTAATAAATAAAATATAATATAAATTTAATACCAACGACTTAATGGTTTAAATATAAGAAAATTGATTTTTTCTAATAAAGTTTTAAATTTTTTTTATAAAATTTGAGGTGAGTTTATTGTAAATTAATTGAGATTCAATTATATAACATTAAAATATTTTAACTTTTACTTTCATGTTAATATAATCATCAAAATAAGCACCATCAACTACTAGTAAGAGAAAAACAAAAAGGCAAGGTCGTCTTCCCAGTAACATGCTAAACTCTGAATCCATCCAGTCTAGACAAAAAGCACAAATCCAAGCAGAAATTCACCCTCTTTTTTTTTTTTTCCGTATGACCAAACCGCAAACTTTTTGATTGGACAACATCAAATATAAAAGCATGGTGCATGCCCTCCTCCATCTGATTGGAAAACCTAACCCCACATCCCAAAAAAAGGTCGAAAGATTCATCCCATGAGATCTTACTATGATTTGTTCATTAATTTAGTATGACCTTTATTTTGAAATTAAGTACTATAATAATTATGCACTGGTACTGTTTTAAATTTTATTAATCAAACTACCAATCATACCTAAACCCTCGTCCAATTAGATAAGTTGACAAGCCTCTCGGACCACTTCCCTTATTGGGGATCATCCCAAGTTCGTAGAATCTAGGCAGCTCCCTTTTTCCATTGCATAAGATACTCCCAAGTCAGCAAGAAAAATGTTGCTTCTCTATTTCAAAAAAATAATAAATTACTCAACTTTTTAAAGACATAATTTTAAATTATACTTACTTTTTCATATATATATATAATAAACTATAATTAAAATTTTTTTAGATCAAATAAAATTTGATAAGAAAGATTAATAACTTAAATAATTTAGTTTTTTTGATAAAAATAAAAAATTTTAAATTTAACTCATATAATATGTAAATAAAATAAAATAAAAGATATAAAAAAATTGACTCATATCATGCAATCAAAATAAAAAATGTTTTTGAAAAGGAAAGAGCAGTAAATATCTAGCTTTCAAAGAAAAAAAGATCATAAATAACATGACTACAATTTTGATTGAATATTTTCATTTACTATGGTCTTATATTTTTTTCTATACCCATAATTAAGCTTTACATCATATATAAAATAAAATTAAATTAAGTATAAAATCACATTTTATTTTTAAAAAATAATTATCACTAAAATAATTAAATTGTTAGATTTTGAGATCTCGGAAAATATAGACAGGACCATAAGTATCCTTAACTCCTAAGGACCCG